TTCAGTAAGAATTATCCACTTAAATGCCTTTAAGCCCTTTTTCAGGTGTATGCAGTTCAACACACACTCTTGTGTGTGCATGCTCTGGTCCTCTCTCATGTTATCCATGTGAATAGTCCATGAACATTAAATCCCTGTAGACTAAAATGTTTACTGAAAATTTGTTTGAATGGCATCATATGTATAGGTCAGTGAAACATGATGTGAACAGGCCCTTGAGAGAATACAGGTTATCAGAAACATTTGGAGACAGAAAATATTGCAGTATGCAGTGTGCATGATCTGAGGAAAAACTAGAGTGAGATGAAACATCATGATGTAGTGTTCTGTGAAATTAGGTAAGTTTTAATTTTGTTTCTTAAATGGCCCAACAGACATTGATGCTCCTCATCAGTGAAAGTTTTCCAGTAAGAGTTTGTAATGCAAGACTTCCTGCTCCAACCTTCTACATTTATAATGATAGCTCTTGTTGGAATTACTTCATTGCAGTCACGGCAAATTTCATCTCAGAACCCATCCAGGCAATAGTCTTCTCTTAGAGTTTCTGGTCTCCCCAGGAGGCTGTGTGATGCTGAGAGCTGGAAGCCTTTCCTTCTCATTGCCTCAGCTTGAATGTGAGGCAGGAGTTTGTTCTGATGTGAAGTCTTCTCTGGACTATACCAACCTTAGCATCTAGAGATTTGGCATCATAGAATAGGAACAGCTATACAGAAAAGGCTGCAGAGGGAGGTGGTGGTGTCTCTATCCCTAGAGGTTTTCAAGAAATGTGGATGTGGCACTTAAAGATATGATATAGCCAGCACCACTGGTGGGTGCTTCAGTGATTGGATTAGATGATCTTAGTGGTCTTTTCCAACCTTAATGATTCTATCTATCTGTACATACAGGAAATATGACAAGTCTGTGATCCTGGAGGTTCTCTCCGTGCTGATAGTTTTAAAAAGTGTTTAATTAAACAAACAAACAAAATGCAGAGCTGTAGCTTTAAGTGTCAAATCATGTCCATTGACATATAAAATAAAAAATATAAAATTGATTATAATTCATGTGTCTTTGCTTTTGCTGGGAGTCAGCAACACTCAGTGACTGAATTTGGGAGCAGAGATCTTTTTTTTTTTTTAAATTATTATGATTAGACTCTCTGAAGAATATTTTCTCATGTCTTGGAACAAAGTAAGCCTGGAACTGGAAGTAACACTGGAACTAGGAAGAACTGAGTATTTCTGCGCTCAAATCTTCATCAAGTGTTTTAGCATTTGGCCTTAAGAGGCTCTGCAGAAAACAGAACAGTTTCATGAAGAGTACACTAAGTATCTCATGCAGGGATCTTAAAAAAGTAAGATGTTGCTTACCTGTAGGGAAATGATGAGAGAAGCAACTACCAAGCCTTGGTTCTTGAAAAAAGAGCTATATTCCTAGCTGAGAGATCATGGTATGGTAATTGTCTACTCCAGATTTTCCAGAAACTGGAGCAAGTCCAGCAAAGGGCCAAAAAGATGGATAAGGAATTGGAGCATCTGCTGTACAAGGAGAGGTCTATAGAGCTGTTCAGCCTGAAGGAGAGAATATTCAGGGAGGGGACCTATATGAATAGTGTATAAATTGCACATAGAAAGAAGGCTTAATCAGGCTCTTTTCTGTGGTGCCCAGAAAAAGAATAAGAAGAAATGGGTGTGCATACAAAAAATATCTCATCTGAACACAACAAAAAAGCTTGCTTACTGTGAGGGCTGTCAGACACCAAACAGATGGCTAAAATTGGTTCTGGAGTCTGTGGGAGTATTCGAAGCATGACTGGACATGGTCCCTGGGGTCTCCAAAGCTGACTTAGATTGTCCCTTTTATCCTCAAAAATTCTAAGATTTTGTGATCAGCCAAAACTACACAATAAGCATACAGCTTTTATGTAAAAATAAAGCCTCATTTCTGACACTTTCATTTAGCCCAAGTGATAAAATGTTCATTACGTTACAGAGAAAATCAAAAGGAGCGGCTGTAGCAACAGGGCTACAGTACTTCAGGCTGAAATTCCTTCACGTAACATTTCATAATGTTGTGTGAAGTATAACAGGTTTAAGAAAAACATTGAGACAAAAATATAATTTTTTTTTTTCAGAACATTTGAGAAGATATCGTAGTTACATTATCACCTAGATCTTCCTCATGCCAAGCGACTGTTACAGTACTGCAAATATTAGGTACCACTCATCACCAATGAATGTTATGATTTTAGGAGAGGGACAAATATGGAGAGAAGTTTAGACAGGAACTTCTGGTTTAGAGCCTTGTGAGGGATCTGTAAGATGTTAGAATATGATTCACAAAAGAAACTGAATGCAGCTGAATGAAAAATGTATGTGCATGAATATTCTCGCCCATGCAAATGTTAGAACAAGAACAAAAAAAAAAAAAAAAAGAGGAAATAAGATCTGCTCTAAAACTACTCTTTTACACAGTGTCGTGATGACTGGGAGTGGTATGAAGTAGAATCTATTCTCAAGTTGAATTTATGCCTTGTAAAGGAAAGAATTAAGATTCACTGGATTAAAGAAAGAATAACAAGCATGATTTTGTAATCTGTTGATGAGACACTCGTGGGATACTTGCATTAGAGAATGCTTTTCCTATTTAAAGGGTTGGAATTTCCCATAAGTCTTTTGGAAATAAAAACCCAGCAACATCCAGGGCTTTGGGAAGAACATTTTATTGCTAAGCGTATCTTTAAACAAAATGCAAATAAGAAAAGAAAAAGAATCAAAAAGGAAGAAAAAGAACGGTGAAAAAAGCAATAACATCACAATAACTCAAAGAAAAATTCTTAAGATTGTTCATAAAGCAACAGGGATATGGTAGAAGCCCACATACAGGAATGCACATGTTCCCCAAAAATGTCCAATAGAAACTTACACAAAAAAAGGAAAGTGTAATTGTTTTTTTTCCTCTTAACTTAAAAAAGGAAAGCAAAAAGGAAAGGAAGAAAGGAAATAATTTCACAAGACTCCAAGACTCCAAGAACAGCAATCTTTTACAGACATCAAGATATAATCAACTCTATATAGTTTTGGCCAGTTAAATCATCTAAAATCGTGCTTTCATACCTTTTTAAAACCTGTCTTTTTTTTCTTTTTAGTATAAAAAATAAAAAAGGAAAAAAAGGCTCAACCTCTCACGCACACGCACCACGCACACATACACACTGAAAATATTTGTTAACATGAAAGCGGCTTCTCTAAGTGTTTGAGAAGGCTGTTTCTTTGAATTTAAGTTCCCATGTGCGTGTGTGTATTTGATGACACTTCTTCAAAGTCAAATATTCATGCGACTTATGAACACCAGCAAGAGTAGATTTCTAAACCTAAACAGCTGATTAGTTTTCATCTGTATACAGAAAAAGTGTACATTTCTGATATTTCAGAGTTCTCAATCCATCTTGTTTTTTGTTGGTTTTCTCTCTTTCTCCCTCATTTGCTCTTTTTTTTTTTTTTTTCTTTTCGTATGTGACAGGCATGGCCATCAAACCACCTGGCTATTTTTCTATACAGTAAGTAATCCTTTTCACAGTAACTGGGAAAATGTAGGAACCAAACAACCAAATTAAATCAGTTAAAAACAAAAGACATTCCCAATTTAACCATAAAACAGTATATACACCTTCAGGGTATTCATATAGAAATTATACTAGCAAAAAAAATAGTAGTAAAATATGTAAACAAACTTTCAGGTATTTTTTCTTGACACAGGTAACTGTGACAAAGCTAAAACACACGCTTTCTTCTCATCTTACGGTTTGCTTTTGTTTTCTGTTTCTTTTTACTCTGTTCTTCAAGAACATTCTTATTCCACATTAAGACCATAACAGAACTTCCGTTCCAGTCGTCCCATCAAACATACCATGATAAATATATCTGTGTGTATATATATATAATATTATTAAATTCCTTTTTCTTTATTATTTTGTGTGTCACAGCAGCTTTATTTTCTTTTATATAAAAGAGAAGGAAAAGAGAGAATAGGGCAAATGGAAAGACATGATCTGAAATGTCAAGCTACAAAATTAAAGTATTACATATGAAAAAACAGTTTCGTGTCAAAAAAAAAAACAACTATACATTTTTGCATTCTTTTACAAGTGGTTAACTTTTCATACATTTTATGGGTCTTATCACAAGTTGAACTCCAATGGTGTCTTTCTGATCTCTTTATTAAACTGATTTTTTTTTTTTTTTTTGCATGCATTGCAGTCAGTCACAGAACTAGAACCTGGAGGAAGGCTCCTTTATTTTTGCATGGTATATTTAGCTCAGAATGACTAACTGTTTCTTAAGCATCCTTTTTTTTGAATCTTCAAATCCTTTTAACAGTAGTTTGGCTGTGCTAACGCATACTAAGTGATATTCTCAAATAGTTCCAACGATTCTGATCAGAACAGACCCAAACCCATCTATTCTTCAGTTCATTTGCAAATCCTGGTGGCAGATCCAAGGGGACCAGCTCTCCATAATTTTCTTCATCAGCACCCATCACATACTTTCACTGCATTGTTAGCAAATAACTTACTGCAAGACGACGGTTTCTAGAGACAACACAACCAGATATGCAGAGTAAACACCATGAGTAGCTTTTGAGTTCATATATGGCAATAGTCTCTCTTTATTTATTATGGATTTTTTTTCCGAGATTTCTTCTCAACACATATCATGCTCCCCACCCCCACAACATTCCTCTCAACCCTTTCCTCCCACACCCAAAAGTAAACAAAATCAAAAATAAAACAACCCAAGAAACCAAACCAAATCAAAATCCAACAATCTCCAAAATCATTTATTCCCCTCCTCCAATCTCAAAAAAATTAGGTGTGCTGGACACAGCCAGATCAGTTTGTTAGATATTTTTTTTGTTGTTTAATAATGTTTGCATTTTTTTCTTTTTCTTTCTTTCTTTCTTTTTTTTTTTTTTTTTTTTAAATAACTAAACTGCAAAATTATTGATACAGTCAGGAATCACGAACATTGTTAAAGACTCACTTGGAGATATGAAACAAGTAAGCCATGAAGTCTTCTACTTTTGCAGAAAGTTCAGCGGAGGAGGAGATTTGGAGACGTCCAAGTTCACTAACAGGGCAGAGCTGTATGCGCCATCTCCAGAACGCTAAGTGTGCTTTATAATACATTAGGGCAGAGTTTGCTGACTCCAAGTGATGACTGAGACATTAACAGTCACTGCTGATATTTTTTTTCCCAATACTTTTTCCCACAAACGATATCTCCTAATCTCGTTCACTGCAATGATTCTGATAGTTAAATCTCATTAAGTATTTATATATTTATATATAAATAAGTATTCTTTTTTACACATAATACTCTTTGTCCTTGTTTTTCTGTTTCTTGTGGCCACTCTTTGAGCTCTGCTGCTTCTCCTTCATGAGCGTGCCGTTGCTCTGGGCTGAGTTGCTGATGTAGTTTCGCGTCTCGTCCACCTGATAGGACCCCTCGTCCCTGTTCCTGTACTTGTACATGGCGTACAGGAGGATGAGGATGCAGAGGGCGGCAGCAGCCACAATGCCGACGACCATCCCCGTTGTGCTGCTCGACTCGCGGACCACCTCTGAGGCCCCCGGAACCCGTCTGATTCCTGGCTCCGTGGGGTTTGCTGTGGGCACATTACGGAACATGGGGGAAGTGATTAGCGGGCTCTTCAGCTTTGTGCTGTCTAGCTCATAGGCAGTGGGCAACGGAAGCAAGACTATGTCAGGCTGGGGTTTGAGCTCACGGTTATTCATTTTGCCGGCTGGCAATTTGGGTACCATCCCAGTCGAGGACGAAGATGTGGAGCGGATCAGCTCAGGGGACAAAGACGTGGTAGTAGTCCTACCAGTTTCGGAGACTTTGTTAGGTCTAAAGTCCTTGGATTCCCACTTGGGTGCGTGTGCTTTGTAGCCACCTTCGAAGATTGAAGTGGAAAGACTCTTATCTGTTACCAAGGAGAAGGTGGTGTAAAAATCTTCATCATCAGTAGGGGGTAGGTTAGAGTCAAAGGTTTCCCCTGAGCCATACCCAGATATCACCAAGCCATCATCATCACAACCATCGCTGCCTTGGTCCGACAAGCAAGGTAACCCCGCCTCAGAGGTCATGGACAGGGAATCTTTGGTGGTCTCAATAATGGTGAGGAGGGGGCGAAAGGTAGGGGGAAGTGTAATGAAAGGTGCACGAGTAGCAATAGGAGGGATATCTAAAGGGTCTTCTACAAGTAGAGGAATAACTAATTCACCTCCTGGGATGGAAAAGAGAAGAAAAAAAGAAGATTAGTACACATTACTGATACAAGACACCATTTTCAAGTCTCGTAAGGGTGGTACAAGGACATGGGCATTATGAATAAGTGTCAGGGATCAGATTTCCTGCCCAGCTACACTACGAATAACTTTCTTGGGGGTTTCTTTGATTCTTGTATCCCACTCTGCTTCTGGCATTGATCAATCATGTGTTCCATTTTCTTTTACCCTAGCCTATGCTAGGTTTGTGGAGTGAAACACTACAAATTTTTGGGGACTCAAATTTTTGCTTTTGAAGATACTCTCAAGTGACTCTCTGGGCATCAGTTTTTGGCACTGGTCTTTCTTGAGCAACTGGTTACAAGACTGTTAAAATGAACTATTTCAGACCACCAGTACAGCTATGTCCTCAGGGGGATTTTACTGTTCATCTTAACGTTTTTTCCTCCTCTGGTTCTTTTCATTTAAGAAAGCACTGGTATTTCTTCTCTGATACTCAAGTGTGTTCTCCCTCTGTAGTATTTTCTAAGGCCTTCCCTAAGGCCTTTCCCATTCATCCGTTTCTTCTTGATTGTTGCCTGGTTTTTAAATTGTGAGAACATTCATGAAAGATAGATATGGCATAAGAACCAGGTACTTACTAGGGTCCATGAAGATACAGAGCTCTACTCAAAGCTTGTTCATTTCTTTTTAATCTTACCTTTTTGTTCTACATTAGACATGTCCCTTGCCTTTTGTCTTCTTGGGCTATTAATGTCATATCATCTTGAGCTTTTGTTCTTCTTTATATCCTTTTAGTATAATTCGATTAAAAGTTAAGAAAATAATTAATTGTGATTGATGATGCAACTAAATAAGCGCTCGGATGACCCAAATTAATTGTGCTTGAATCTGCACAACAGAAATTTCTTCACACCTGCTGATATTCTTTATACATAGATATCAGTGATATATTTTCCCAGCATGGTAGCTAGGTGCCTACAAAGCACTAAACATGAGGTAGACTTATAGCCTACTCTGGAAGTGTAACTTAGCTATAGCTGTAACTTCTGTACCTTACTGAAGTATAACGTGAAGTGAGAAAACCAGAGTGTCATTTCTAAGACTGGCTTCTGTACAGCAAAATCTACTCATAGCTGAGTAGTTTTGATTTGTCTGTATTTTGTAAAATGAGTGTATTTTCTCTTTTGACCTTAGAAATAATTAACACTCCAGCATTTTACTCTGATATGGAGGTATAATTCATTTCTTTAATTCACTGAGTTGAGACTGCATAGTCTTCTGTTAACACGCAGGTTGCTGACACGTTTTTAGGTCATTGCTTTTGAAAGTTTGTGTATGAATTTTCCCTCGGCCATTTCTCTTTGGTTAGTCACTTAAGGTAGATGATTTAAATATAAACTGAAGATTTTATTTGATACAATGAGTAGTCATCCAGATCTGTTGGAAATAGCACAAGTCATATTTAAATACTTGTAGGAAAGCATTAATTAATTTGTATTCACTGGTTCTTAAAGAAAGAGATGCAAAAAGAATTTTAGGTTCTAAATAAATAATTCCAGCTTTTACTTAAAGTTTAATAAATTGAAACAGTCAGAATTAACTCACGCATACCGGGGTAGAAATGAGGCTAAAATAAAGAATATGGTACTTTACATATCTTCTTAACACACCTGCATGCAAAGTGATTTTCAAAACGAGATAAAAAGGGCCAACCTGAATGTGCCATTTAGTTTTTTGAACTTCCTCAGCATAGTCATACCACTTCTCTTACAGAAATACAAAGAAGAAATATGTATAGCAAAAAATATGGAAAAAGCAAGAAATTTTATCTGCCAAGTGGGTACGCAGCACTTTGTGTTTGCGCATCTGAGTTTTTTGTTCAGTGCAAACTGGAGCATGTAATATGATTTAGATATGTCCAGAAGCCCTATCCATGGTCAGAGTGGGGCATATATAATCTATGCAAACAGGTGGTCTCAAGCTAATCTTGAAGTATACCTCAGAGGAAAATATCATCTGTAAGTCTGCAAAATAAAAATGAATAAAAATATTATAATTTAAGTGCTTATTAAACCAATTGCACGGATGTGTTATTTAAGTTCCTGAAAGGCAGGTGTAAATAGTGTCCCTTTAAGTGATTTTTTTTTTTTTTTAAGATCGCTGTTTTGCTGTTAAACAACAGTATTTATCTGTGAATTTCATGCACCATCTGTGACATCCAATTGGAAAAAAAAAATCAGTTTGGCAGCTTTTAACTGTTCATCTAAAGCTTTGAAGTACCTTTGTTATTAGAATATATTAGCACATGACTTTAGTATGCAGCTCATCTGCCACACACTGGGGCAATATTTTGGGCAGTTTTCTTCTAAAAATGAATTATTCTTGTCCTATTTACAATTAATTTCATCAGAGGAATCAGAAACATCTCATATTTAGTATGAAAATCTTTCTTTTTCTCCCAGTAAGCCTTGAGCCTTGCTTTAAAAGCAGGCAATAGTTCTACAGTTGTGGTTTTTTTGTTTGTTTGTTTTGGTTTTTTAAATCTTTATTTATTTATTTATTTTCTGTTAAGGACTTGAGTCAGTGGTAAAGGCTGCTGCCATCACAGTCATCCTGAAATGTCAAGGAAAGTTGGGTTGCTGAGACAAGTGATGTGTCACATAACTGAAGGAGACCAGATCAAAACTTTTTTTCATTCAGCAAGTCTGGTGGAATAACAGGACTGAATCAAGAATGAGTTTTACAGACTTTTAATTTCACATTGGATGGAAGAAGAGAAATATCTTTCATACCAGGAAGACTGGATGAACTTTAACTTACAACTATTTAATTTTGTCTCTAGCTTCATTCCTGTGCCCAACAAACCATACAATTTTTGCTTATACACTAAGGAAATAGGCTATTAAAAGTCCTTAATTAGTAATCATTCTCCATTAAGGAGTTCATTTAGTATATCTACTTAAGATAGCATATTTCAGGGGAATAACTAGTAGATGGCTTTAAGTGTGGTGGTGATGGTTTGAATGTTTGTTTTTACTTTGTTTGCAATGGGAAAAACTGTGAGACACGTTGAAGAAGGTAACTTGGAAAAAGCACTCTGTAAATGCCAAATGTGGGCACTGTATTATTGGTATGCTAGGCACCTATGCAAATCTCATAGTTAGATAGAACTTATATCTCTAATAGTACACATAGACAATGAACACTTCTTGGGGTATCTGGTTTATAGTTTATAGAGCAGCATCCTGTAAGATGACATGATGAAAATGCCTCTCAGTCTAAAAAAAGAAGAAAAAAGTGCTATCTAAGGATGACAGCACGTGTGAATTGTGAAAAACTCCATGGAAAGTGTGAGAAACATGATCACAAACATCTATGGGGGGAACAAGTGCAAATTTTCTTACTGTACTTCGAAACAACTGTGTTACTGATACTACATTTCTACTTGTAAGAAACACAAGAGGGAGTGTGATGAAAGGCAGATGATGAGAGTGCATGCAGGGGGGGCCATGGAGGCTCACAGAATGACAGATGAGACAACAGGAAACTGCCTAGAGCCAGTGAACCCTTTGATGGAGAATTGGTGCCTCTTGCCCAGGGCTCCAGGTTGCTTTAAAGGTAAGCTCTGAAAGCTTTAAAAGACAAAGTGCAACATCATTGCCAAGTCTCTTCATAAAGGATTGTCTGACTCTGAAAGGTTGACTTGTGAAAGACAAGTAGCTTTAAGACAAGTGCTTTTTTAATTGTATGAGTTTCAAAAGGGTCAAGTGTCACGTCCTGCATTTTAGTCACAACAACCCCAAGACAATTCTACAGGCCTGGGGAGGAGTGGCTGGAAAGCTGCCTGATGGAAAGGGACCTTGGTGTACTGATGGACAATCGGCTGAGTACGAGCCAGCATTGTGCTCAGGTGGCCAAGAAGGCCTATTGCATCCTGGCTTGTATCAGGCATGGTGTGGTGAGCAGGACTAGGGAAGTAATCCTGCCTCTGTATTTGGCATTGGTGAGACTTCACCTCAAGTACTGTGTTCAGTTTTGGGCACCTCAGTACAGAAAGGACATGAAGGTGCTGGAGCACATCCAAAAAAAGGAAACAAGGCTTGTGAAGGGCTTGGAGAATGTGCCCTATGAGGAGAGGCTGAAAGAACTGGGGCTGTTCAGTCTGGGGAAAGGAGGCTGAGGGAGACCTCACTGCTCTCTTTCTCTATCTATAAGGTGCTTACAGTGAGAGCGGGGCTGGTCTCTTCTCACTGGTGACAGGTGACAGGATGAGGGGAAATGACCTCAAGTTGTGCCAGGCTAAGTTTAGGTTGGATATCTGGAAACACTTCTTTACAGAAAGGTTGTTAAGCACTGGAATAGGCTCCCCAGGGAGGTGGTTGAGTCACCATCCATGGATGGGTTTAAAAACTGTTTGGATGTGGTGCTCAGGGATGTGATTTAGCAGAGGGTTGTTGGAGTTAGGATAGTATGGTTAGGTTGTGGTTGGACTTGTGGATGATCTTTAAGGTCTTTTCCAACCTGAGTGATTCTACGATTCTGTGATTCTCTGATTCTATGCTTTAAAGATTTGAGTCTCTGGATAAAACTAAGAAGGAGGCTCTGAAACACCTTGCCTGATGACTGGAAGGTAAGGTTGAGGCAGGTTTAATGTTTCATATTGCTATGTGAATTTGGGCCTTGGATTCCAAAC